CACATTTCCTTCTGAGACTCCTTCCTTTCTGCTCTGACTTCTCATTTCCTTAACTGTCCCTAGATTCCTCCTTTCTTCACCTATAACTGTTCTTCTCTACTTCCTTGTTTCCTTCTCTATCTCCTTCAATTCTTTACTTTCTTTCTTTACTTTTCCACTGTCTCATTTCCTCCCTGCCTCCCCTCTCTCTCAGCTTATACAGACGTGTGTGTGTGTGTGCGTGGTGTTACCCAGTGTGTAGGCGCAGACCAGCTTCTGATTGGTGGAGACGTGCAGCCAGCGTGGAACCAGCGAGTTGCTGTCAGTGTGCAGGGGGAGCATCAACACTGTGACACACAGCACCGCCACAGCCACACACACGGCCCACTGAGACGCGCTGCGCACAGCTGCAGACACACACACAGAAACATCATCAGTAAGATCAACTCTGCACCCGCGAATGCACTGCTGCAGGAACCAATCAGAGCACTCCACGGTGCCTTACCTGTGCAGGCAGGCAGGTGTGCCTGTGTGGGCAGGAGCTGAGAAGTAGGACGGGGCGGCGCCCTTTGTTGACCTCCTCTTTGCTCCTCTTCCTCTTGTCCTCCTCTAAGCTCCGCCCAAATCTCCCGTCGTCCCACCTGGCCTCCGCCCCTCACCTCCATGCGGAACCGGTCCCTGCGGCCCCAGTTTCTGGGGGAGACGTCCAGGTGACGCACGACCCTGACAGGATAACGAAATACTTGATTGCATGTGAGCGTCGTTATGGATTAAGTTTTAAATAAAGTTTGAAACACTCACAGGTCGACGCAGGACTTGGCCCGGATGTTGCCCTCTGCCTCCACCACCCTGTAGAACGAGGGCGCCGTGCACCACACTGCGAGGACAGAGAGAGAGGAGGTTAGAGCCAGCGGCGGCGTGACCAGGGCCTAAACATGGCTGCACTCACTCTTGAAGCTGAGGCTGAAGCTGTAGGGGTTGTAGAGGGTCAGCACCCTCCTATGGGAGCTCCTCTGCTCGGCGTAGAACACCATCTCCGAGGGGAACAGGAAGACGGCAAGACGCGGCACGCCCCCCACCGCCACGCTCTGCTCCCCTGCCACCGCCGACCCCCCCTCGTCTCCTCGCCCGTCATGGCTCTGCCTCCTCCTCATTAGTCCACTCTGTGTGGAGCCCCGCCCGCGGACATGATCGGAGAGCTGTCATTGGATACCTAGAGGTAACACCGCCTACCACCACAGCGAGAAAAAAAATCATTTAACGAGGAGAAAAAAGTTTCTCTTTCCTAGGCTGTGGCTCCTTGGTTCCTCCTCTGTCTCCTCATTTTGTACAATGCCTCCTTGTTACCTCTCCCCACTTTTCCCCCCTCCTCCTCGTCCTTTCTGTGTCCTTTTTTCCTTCCTCATATCCCTCCTTCCTGCCTTTTCTCTGCCACCCGATACCTTGCTGCCTTCTGTACGTCTTTCCTTCCTTCTGTTTCTTTGTTTACTTCTCTACCTCCCCTTATCCTTCTGTGCTTCTTCCCTTCCTTCTCTGTTTCCGTGTTTACTTCTCTAGCTCCTCGTTTCCTTCCCTAAACAAACAGGACCCAGCATGTAAACAGTGGAGAACAAACACAGGTAACGCCTCATAAATGAGTACCTCAGCTCCCGTGTATCCCTCCGCTGCCAGCCTGTAGTATAAATTGTTTATTTCTGGATCTCTGTGTAAAAAACTCCGAAAAACTTCACCAACAGACTTTGATGGTAAAGTGTTGGACTCATTTCCTTCCTTCCTTATTTCCTTCTTCCTCCTCGTGTGCTTCACTCAGCAGGTGTAAATCACCTTCTAAATGAG